CCCCCTTACCTCCTTAATATTTATTTGTGCTCATTTTCTTTCCTGGCCTTGAATGGAGCTTAGCTCGTGTTCAGTACAGCTGTATGTTTACTGAATCTATTCCATCATGAGTCATTGTGCGTGTGTAAGTATCCTGGAAACAGCTAGTGCTTTCTTGGAAGAACAGTTGCTTTTCAGCACAAGCACTTAAAAGGGAAATTAACCAATTGGTCAGTTCAGATTTATTTTGAGGAGGAAAAAAAGGATTATCTAACTGTTGGCTTTTAAATGTTTCATTAGCTATTTTTAATAGTTTATTAGAAACATATATTTTATGGGAATTTTATCTTAATTACACGATGAGCAAGAGATACAGATTTATTCTGTGTTCCATTTCAACTGATCAATTCTAAGTATTACTGACAGGAAGCATTTCAAAGCAAAACGGGCTTGAGAAACCCAAATTAGAATAATTTTTTCATGAAATAAAAAGCCCCTAAGTCCTGATCAAAATAAGATGGAGAGTTTGTTTTGTTTTGTTTTTTTAAATAAAAAGAACGAATACCTCTGAGCATCATTTAAGTGTATTGGAAGTGTCAGCGAGTTTTTGGTAGCTCTATCACTGAGGACCACGGCAAAACAGTCTGTTTTGTAGGAAACCAAATTTTTAAAAATCTGTTACTTCTCCCGGCGAATAATTGCAGTGTGCAAGGTGGTTTTTTAATCTCACCGTCTTTAGAAAAGATTAGAACCCAGATCTGAGGCTGTTTGCTGAAGTTTGGACTTGCCTAAAACTCTTATCATGAGGCAATAGGAGACAGCTTGCAACTATTATTTCACTTATCCATTTGGACAGATGGTCCTGAAGTGCGCTGGGTTCCTTTAGCCGTGTCTATCTGTCTAATGGAGGTTACTGGAGGGCCTTTCAGCTCTTTCCTTGGCACAAGAAGTATGTCAGTCATAAATTATGGTCTTTGTGATCATTAAGGATCTGAAACAAAAACACAAGTTCGGTTAAGCTGCTTTGGCGTACAGATATAAAATCAAAATTTCTTCCTTCAGTGTTTATTCCTGGCGAGGGTAGGGGGAAGCACAATATCTCACTTTTCTCTTTGCAAACCAAGGTGATCTTTTAAAAATTGTGTGATGTTAAAGGGGATGCTAATTGATCAAATCCTCTGCAGAATAGGTGGTTAAACGCCCTGTTATAAGTAGTCAAGAGCTTATCGGTATTAATTTGATTATGCCTCTCTACTCACCTCCTGGTTTCTCTGTCTTCCTAAGATTGGTCACGCTGTTCTTGATGGAGGTCATTTAGAAACCTTGACTTTTCCTAAATATGTGTCTTTATTTGACCTTTTTTTCACAAGGTGTGGCATTTTTGTTGGGTAGTAAAACGTGTGTGTGTGTGCGCGCACGTGCACACACACACACACACACACACACACAAGTGCATATTTTCTTTTCTTTTCTTATTTTTCCCAGACTCTCTTTTAAGAGAAAATCCTTAGAGAAGCTTCTAGGAAGGACCCTTAATTGACCTTGTGGGGGACCACATTGATTTTCTCCACGTGCATCTTCATTTCTGATAAATTATAAAGCCATTAATTTGCTGAGGAAATGGCAGGGCCAGGCTGCGGCACAGATGTGACCAGAGCCATCCCAGCTCCGAGTCTGCTGAGGAGTGCCAAGAATCTGGGGGAGAATCAGGAAGCCTGGATTGTTATGGTTAGCCTCACATTCTCTTGGGAACTGTTTTAGTTGCTGCTGTTTACAGATCTAAAAGGTAATGATGTTTCCAGATAAATAGGCCTTCTTATTTTGGGTAAGTGGCCATTTATTGATCTGCTAACCCGCATTTATTGATTTGTTAGCCCCAACCACTGTGCCACTCTCAAAGGAGTTAACTATAAATCCAGGAGAGGCAAATCGTATTTGGTTTTGGATCGTTGCTTTAACAAAAGCGACACCCCCTCCCTGCTCTCTCTGTGCCAAAACTACCCCTCCCAAGTTTTAGCTATTATTTAAAAGGAAACAATTAAAAGGGTATAATAGTAAGATAGGAAGAAAGTGAGTCAAAATGCCCCATTAGATTAGCACTAAAAGGTAAAATGTGAAGCTTGCCTAATAGTGTTCAAAATAATGCATTTTATATTTTCACGCACATTAGGATAATAATTTGCTGTCAACTGCAGAGTGTGGGGAGAAGAGCAAACAGAACTGCGATTGCGAAGAAGGAAAAAACTTGTCACGATAAGAGTTGTAGGATACACGTTGGGTACATTTGTCTCCTTAGCAACAAGTGAACATATACGTAGCGTGAGGACCTCCAACAGGGCAATGTTTTGCCATCCTCACCACGGAGCAGCCAAGATTCTGCAACTACACTGTGCATCCTCACCATTACCTTTGGCATTTGCTAACACACAATGGTCATTTTGAGCAAGTGCAGCAACGTAGTGAGGGATTCCGTGGCCAGTGCCTTGTACCTTTCAGAATTCCCACAGCTTTGTGATGGGCCTCCAGATTCTTTTTTTTT